AGTCTCGTCTTTTGATGCGAGGCCCTCAAAACAAATGCAGCGCTCGCAAGAGCGCCTGTCCAGCGCCTCGCAAGAGGCAATGGACACAACACCGAGCTTGAGGGCGCAGCCAGCGCCTAAGGATCGGCGCGACTCCGTCGACCGATCCAAAAAAGAAAAATCTCGTGTCATGGCCCCTGGAAAGGGTCCATGAGCTAACTTTCCATCCTTGAGCACACAGCACAAAACACATCTAAAATGGATACACAGATCTTACAGTGGAATGGGAGAGGACTTCTCCATAACCTCGATGATATTAGAGAACTTCTTAATAAACATACTCCAAAGGTGCTGTGTGTTCAGGAGACACATCTCAAGTCCACACAAACAAACTTTCTAAAGCATTATGCCATCTTCCGCAAAGACCGTGACGACGCTGCCGCTTCGTCGGGCGGTGTCGCTATAATAGTTGATAATGGTGTTGCCTGTAAGCAATTAAACCTCCGAACTTCTCTTGAGGCAGTTGCTGTCCGAGCAGTGCTGTTCGGGAAGCTACTAACAATTACCTCTATTTACATTCCCCCGTGCTATCAACTTTCAAAGACACAATTTCAAAGCTTCATTGATGAACTTCCTCCGCCATATATAGTCGTTGGTGATCTAAATGCACATAATCCCCTATGGGGCGACTCCCATTTAGATGCGCGAGGACGTCTAATAGAACACTTTCTGTTTTCGTCAGGTGCATGTCTACTAAACAAAAAAGAACCAACGTATTATAGCACTGCACATAACACATACTCTTCTATAGACCTGAGTATTGTCTCGAGTGCTATAATTCCATACCTGGAGTGGTTCGTTCTCAAGAACCTTTTTGGGAGTGACCACTTCCCGATTATGTTAAAGTTAACAAAAGAAGATACACGCTCGCCTGACTTTCCTCGCTGGAAGACCAAGTCAGCCAACTGGGAATTATTTCGAGAAATTACATTTTTAGACGGAGATGAGATTGCTGATTTTAATATAGACGATGCTGTAGCATACCTAACAAGTTTTATTATTGACGCTGCAATGAAATGTATCAAGCAGACCAACGGAATGACCAATAAACGTCGCATCCCATGGTGGAACGACGATTGTCGGAAAGCACGCAATAGACAAAATAAAGCTTGGAGACTACTCCGAAATTACCCGACGGCTGAAAACCTCAACAATTTCAAACAGGTCAAGTCCCAAGCCAGAAGAATGCGTCGTCTTGCAAAAAAAGAAAGTTGGAATACGTACATCTCCGGTATAAATTCTTACACCGATGAAACGAAGGTTTGGAATAGGGTAAAGAAGTTAATGGGTCGGGAGTCACACCCCCTACCCTTGGTAATGAGCCGAGGGGAGAGCCTGGAGGAGCAGGCGGACTGCCTAGGCGAACACTTTGAATGCGTCTCGAGTGCATCGCACTACACAGAAACGTTCTTAAGATTCAAAGAACGCGAAGAGCGGCAGCCCCTTAAATCTAAACGTCCCTCCAGGGAGGCTTACAACTGCCCATTTTCATTAGCCGAACTTAAGGCATCTCTTGCGTACTGCAAAAACTCGGCGCCAGGTGGCGATCGTGTAACGTACGAAATGATCAAGTATCTTCACCCAGAAGCACTAAAAACGCTCCTAACCCTCTTCAATACCATGTGGGAAGCTGGATATATTCCATTGTCATGGAAAGAAGCGATAGTCATCCCGGTACTTAAACAAGGCAAAGACCCATCTTGGCCGCCAGCTACAGGCCTATAGCGTTAACAAGCTGTTTGTGCAAACTACATGAGAAAATGTCAAACCGGCGCTTAACCCACTTCCTAGAAAGTAACAGTATACTAGACCCCCTTCAGTGTGGTTTCAGAGAGGGGAGGTCGACAACAGACCACCTTGTTCGCATAGAGACATACATCAGAGATGCATTTATTCATAGGCAGTTTGTACTTTCGGTATTCTTAGACCTGGAGAAAGCGTACGATACCATATGGCGATTCGGGATTCTGCGCGATCTTACCGCCATGGGCATCCATGGGAACATGCTAAACACAATTAAAAGTTATCTGTCTAACAGAACCTTTCGCGTAAAAGTGGGAAATGCTCTCTCTAGATCATTTACCCAAGAGACTGGTGTTCCGCAAGGGGGCGTGCTTAGTTGCACACTCTTTCTTGTAAAAATGAACTCCCTGCAGTCAGTCATTCCAAGTACGATGTTTTATTCTGTGTATGTTGATGATGTGCAGATGAGTTTCAAATCATGCAATATGTCTATCTGCGAACGACAAGTGCAGCTTGGAATGAATAAATTCTCTAAATGGGCGGATGAGAATTGTTTTAAAATAAACACCCAGAAAAGTACTTGCGTACTCTTCTCCAACAAACGAGGGGTAATGCCACTTCCAAATATTACAATCAAGGGAGACCAACTCTCTGTGAGAAGCGAGCATAAATTCCTAGGAACCACTTTAGATTCTAAGCTCACGTTTATTCCCCATATTAAACATGTAAAAATGAAATGTCTGAAAGCGATGAACCTCCTAAAGCTCCTATCACGTACAACATGGGGTAGTGATCGGAAGTGTCTCTTGAACTTGTACAAGAGCCTTGTTTGGTCGCGCCTTGATTATGCCTCTATAATTTATCATTCTGCAACGCCAAGTGCTCTGAAAATCCTAGACCCCATTCACCATCTGGGTATCCGACTGGCAACCGGTGCTTTCAGGACAAGTCCGATCCAGAGTCTCTATGTAGAGTCGAATCAGTGGTCACTTCACCTACAGCGATCCTATAGCAGTTTCACTTATTTTATAAAGGTACGCACAAACATAAAGCATCCTTCTTATTCAGCTATAAACGATATGACCGCTGCCACCCTCTACCATAATCGACCCGCAGCGAGAAAGCCGTTCTCTTTGCGTGTGAGAAGCTTAAGTGAGGAAATGGGTGTTCCGCTGCTAGAACTTTGTCCTATGCCCACAACAAAACATTTACCGCCGTGGCAGTGGCAGCTTATACATTGTGACACTTCCTTTGCCGAGATCACTAAACATGCGTCAGAAGCACTTATTAAAATGCATTTCCGACAACTTCAGTCCAACTACTCATGCGTAGAGTTTTATACTGATGCTTCTAAGTCGCATGCAGGGGTGGCTTATGCAGCCGTCGGACCATTCTTCTCGGAATCCGGTGTGCTACACCCGGAAACAAGTATATTTACGGCTGAGGGATATGCACTATTGTCGGCTGTAAAGCATATACGGAATTCAAACATACAAAAATCTATTATATTCACAGACTCGTTAAGCATCGTAAATGCATTAAGATCCCTTTTCAGAATCGGAAATCTGGTTATAATTGAGTTGTATTCCGTCCTCTGTACTGCGTACATGTCCAACCAGCATGTTACTATTTGCTGGGTTCCTGGCCATAGAAGCATCGAGGGCAATGTGTTAGCTGACCAAATGGCCACGTCAATTATATTGCGTGCTATTAACCCCACCGCTACTGTCCCTGCAACAGATCTAAAACCCTTCCTACGTAAGAAACTGCGAAACCACTGGCAACGCTTGTGGGACACAGAAATAAATAATAAGCTTCACTTGATTAAGCCGCGGTTGGGTTACTGGCCCTCCGCTACAAGAACACGGCGAACTGATGTCCTATTCTGTCGCCTCAGAACAGGACACACTTATGGTACCCATAGCTTCCTGCTGACTGGCGATGAACCTCCTACTTGTGGTAGATGTGGTGAGAGGCTAACCGTCCTCCACGTCCTCCTGGAGTGTCCGGAAGCTGAAAGTGAGAGAAAAAAATATTTTGCTTTAGCATACCGCTATAATCTTCCTTTACATCCGATTATGTTCCTCGGCGAAGAGCCGCTTTTCGATGCAAAATCAGTTTTAAGCTTTTTAAAGGATGTAGTATTGAATGTTTTTAGCCCAACATTGAATGTTTTTAGCCAAACAGGTTCGTAGCGCATCCTCTGTTCAGAGGATACCGCTGTGATAGCAGCTTTTAATGAGCCCAGGCCTCCATGCTCTTGTTTTAAGGGTTCTGTCGAGGCACTGGTGCTCCATGCCAAGTTTTTATTTCACATACATATCACTACACATACATATCACATTTTATGTCTCCATAGCACACATCATTTGTCATTGCCATAATCTTACTATATATATATTTTTACGCACCTACAGCGACTGTTTTTTAGGCCCATTTACAGCCACATCATATCTGTTCTATCTACACTGCACATCGTACAATTCATTATCATCGTTCTGGTGCTCTTTGGCCACATCTGGCCCTTGCGCCAATAAACTCCACTAATCATCAGAACTGGAGTGATGAGCTAGCGAAGCCTCCTTTTGGCGTTGGTGGTACATTATGCTGAGTTTGGGCAGTAATGCCTCCACGAGGACAGTCGAGTGCATTTATGGACAAGTCTTTTTGGTCATATAGGTTACCTTGCTTACGTCCATTTCATGCACTTGTGCCTCAGCAAGTAATTGGTCAAAAGGCATCCGAAACGCGCAGACGGCTTCTGAACTGTGGCGTCATAGTGCACCAACCCCACCAGTTACATCAGCAAATATTTAAACTTGCCCATCTTAGCTACCAAAGAATTTACATGAATGCTTGTCTAGAAGTGATGCCAGAAGGCTTGGCACTTGCAACATCCTCTGGGAAAGCTCTGGATATGCAAGATGGGTAACGTGATGGTACAAAACAGTGGTATTGTAAAAAGTCCTGGCGATGCTGAAATGGGGGTGTGTCGCAGTGTTGAATAGATTGACTTGCCTTGGTGAGCCATTTGCTTGCTGTGGCTGCAAGTAAGTGCCACTTAATAAAAAACATCGTTGGGCTCTTTCCTGCGCTCTTGTTTTTGCCACCCTCAGACTATTTACCTATTTCTTGTTTTTTTGTTGCAACAGTACAGCCATGGAAGCTTCTTTAAGAAGCAGCACTAGCAAAAATGATGTTCTGTGTTCCCGCTGCAGGACTTTCTCTGCCTTCGTCAACGGATGGTTTGCCCTGTCGACTTCCACGTCTTCTGGCCGACCGCTGGGATCCCCTTCTGGCAACTCTGGACTCGCACACACTGCAGAAGTTAGCCGAGCGCCTATTGTCTCAGCCACACAGCACTCGTCATAGTGAAGGGGATCAGAGCTTGCGCCACTACCTGTCTGTGGCTTGGCTTGGCCACCTGCTGACTGGAAGGCATGAACACATATCCAGTGGGTTTTCGATCATGTCATTTTCATGCCATTTACATCATTCTAACACGTTACTGGATCTAACGTGCATGCAATATTCATGAGTTCAGTGTATTATGGTGACAGGGCTCCTGTATGTAATGTTTTCTCGGTTTTTAGCCTTTTTAGTGTTTTAGCCTTACATGTGCTGCATTGCCTGTATGTCTAAAGCTCTCAAGTTTTTCGATCATTTCTTTCGCTTGGCATGTGCTGCCACACTTCGGGAATACTAGGAACCTTTTTCATGCATCGATGTCTTTTTGTTGTATTTCACATTTGCTTCTCAAAAGGTACAATGGCTTCCGCTTGCACATCTGAATGCATGCGGTATGGGTAGTTTTGGTTTCATCTTGCAAGTGGTTAACGCTCTTCGGGCCTGTGATGCTGATGGGACTGTCTAGTTTCTAATCCCTCAAAAGGCGACGGCTTGCGACTCTGGTCTAGGTCTCTTCAGGGCACGATTACATCAGTTTCTGTGCAACGTTAAATTACACAGACGCCGCCGTGGTCGTGTGTCCTGTTTTGAGGGCTCATGATAACTAACTTGGTCTCATTGGTAGTAGGTCTAAGGAATAACAGTTTTTTCACTCATTTTGTTTCCGGATGTGCATACAACCAGATAGTTTTCTGCCGTGCACTCACTCATGCAATTCACCCGTGCTCCTATGGCTTATGAAACCAAGAATATGCCAGTGATCTCATTCCTGCGCCATAGTGCGCCAAATCAGATTTACTGCACCATCTTGATAATACTAATGGGAATTTCACCAAACTGTGCCAATGTCGGATTTGGGAGCTTCTTGCACCGGCAATAGCCACGCTGGCGTGTCAAGTGCATCCTATCTCAGGACCGCTGAAGTTTCAATCGCATACTTATTTCATTATGCTGAATAAACACCGGCCGCGCGTGCTTCCTAAAATCCACAATGTTTGGTGCCGATGCTACTTCTGTAGTGCAAGTCCGCTTATCGGCGAAATGTGCTCTCCGCAGGCACTCATGACGTCTAGTCCTATCGGTAGTGTGAAACTGTGGCGGCGATTCATCGGCGAACGTCGTGCGTTCCAGAAATGCTGTTAATAGCTCATTTGAAGAATTGGGTGATATATGATAAAGCAATTTTCACCAATAACCATACGTGTGTTGCCAAAATGTTTGTCACGTCTATTTCTGGACATCGCCATTTAATTTTCCGTGCTTCGCGTCCGCAGATGAATACCTGAATGGTGGCAATACGTCGACACTTTCTCTCCAATATAGTTTATCCATGAATAATCATACAAAAGAGCTTTTTGTGATTCCTTTCACCAGCACATCCGCATTTATAATCGCTGTGGCGGTAAATGCCTCCAAAAGACCCCGCCCTGTCGAACTCAAGGTTACTAGAATCCGAATTAAAAATTCTCACGTGCTTTTTTTTTAAGTATCTTCTCATTAGTAAAAGCATGCCTCCTGGTCAGAGCAGCTGCAGTTCGGTTTTAATATGTGCAGCTATAGTGAGGCCATCGCTGGCAGCTCTGGTGCGGGAAGGCCTGTGAAGCGGCTGTGCCTCGTTACACGTCCACCTCTCGCTGTCCAGGGTTAATAGCTGACAATTACAGAAACAATTGGATATCATGGCATTGAATCCATTGCTTTGTTTTGAAGGGAGGGGAGAGGAGAAGCTGGGGCGTCGCTCAAAGTAGCCGGCGCGCGCTCTCTCGAAGCATAATGAGACTGCTCGTAAACTTTCTGTGCTTCTAACCTCTGCTTCTCATTTACATAACAGCACGAAAACCACTTCGGCACCTGGAGTAACCATTGTCCCTTTAGCCAATGTTCTTTTGAGTTAGGCGATATCAGATCCAAAGGATACAATTTATTAGTTTTACTTACACTTTTAGCAATGAATACGGCACCAACATATTGTATTGTTATACCAAATAATACAGCTTGACGTCATCCGTGAGAAGCGGTAGCGGCAGGGTTGCCATTTCCTAAGTCCACGCACTTGCCGCAGCTCTCAAAAGCTTGCTGCATGCACATTGTTTGATATCTATGACTTGGGTGACTAGAAACCCCTGGAACACCTCGTGAATACCGATGCACGGACAGATGAAGTCAGACTTGTCTAAAGCGCCCAGCCGACCGCTCCAGCTGGCGTTTTGGTCAGAAATATGTGGAGACGCCATAATGTTACCGAACAAGGTCATACTGCGTGTTAGGCCCTCGTGCTATATAGCATCAACGGAAGCTTGCAGTTAATGTGAGATAGAAGCCTTGGCCAACAACGTCGACAGGCGCACGCTACACTGCTTTAGACAGGTGTGACTCTATCTGTACAGCATGCACAACACGCACGAATGATACGTGTCACGAGGCTATTTAATGGGCAAGCTCTCTTGTAGGTTCGTGGAAACAGAAAACAGATGACATAAAAGCAAAAAACTGATGACATAACCATCATCGGCAAATGAGCTGACGAGACCATTTGCTTCCACCCAAAAATCCCCAACACTCATTATGTTTACGAAACTGCCAAAAGAGAGTAAACAACAGACAAAGAACAGAGCATGCAAAAGTAGGAGGAGCTTAACAGGAATAATAGATTGCTAAAAGATGCGAGCAGTGTGCGGAAATAAATGGTCACAGGAGCAAGCCCATATCACCATACACCGAGACGCGTTCCTTGCAGCTGATGCGACAGAGTAACGGTGAAGACGCACTCGTGCAGCAGGAGAAGTCCAGGGAATAGGTTGAAAGACGCCCACATCGTTGCCTTGGAGGGAGCATAGCGTCGGGCCAGTTAAAGTCAGTGACCTTTCGGCGTTCGGCAGCTGCAGCTCGCACACGAAGCCGGACACGTTTCTTGGCCAATGCCAGAAGACCAGAACAAGCCTGGCCCACGTCAGGCGATGAGAAGAAGCTCTGTGTCTATGTGGAAGCCCGCTGGGACCCTGATGCAGCAGCTCTGCTGGCCGCCACTCCGACACCCTGGCCACCTTTTTCACTCGGTTTTGACTCAGCCACGTCTGCCTGACTTCGCTGTTCTTCGCCTGTGGCTCTCCTAAATCTCCATGGAGGCACCTTATTGGCTTAAAATGTTCACCCCCACACGTGCCGCAACTGAGCGTCATCTTCATCGTCCTCTTTGGTTCAGGCTGATGGCGTGGTGCACTTTTTAAATGCGCACAATCACATCACAAAAGCCCCCCTTTCGAAAAGTTTTTTCTGCCATGAAAAAACTGCATATAAGTGCACGTTTCACCACACACAACAGACATCCTGCCCACCGTTCATTACAATCTTGCAATCAATCCACTCACATTGTGCCTTGCACAGTCACACAAAATCTACTAAAGTCCACTAGACAGTTCACAGCCAAGCTACAGCATCCTGCCCAAAACTAAGAAAATCACAATTCTTGTGAAATTAGAGGTTTAAAACCAGAATATATACAAACGATGTAAGTCCTTGTCCATCTGGTCTAAATCCAGATGCAGTGACCGGTTATTTGAACTCTACTTTCAGGTTATAGCGTCCCACATCAGACGAACAGCATATTTGTTTCTTTCATCTGAATGCAAAACGAAAACCTTGTAGTGTTTTCGATCAGACACCTGCCTGTAGTTCGGCCTTAGGATAATCTGACAGTGCGACAAGTTGATTGCTTTACTGCAGCGTTCCTTTGACAACAACAGTAGTTGTATTCTGCAAATGTTAGCAGTCTGGAACGCTCCACTGCCCTATTTAGTCACGTCATCACCTCGTCCAGGCCCAAAAGTCTTTGAGACATCAAAAATTGTAACCCCAACGATTTCCCGATCTTCGCACGGAACGCTGCACGCTCTACTTTGGCATGATGTAATTACTGCGCCACGTTGAGGTGAGCTAACTGAATGTTCCTCGACTATGCGTGCGCCACTGCTTACATCTGCTAGTGTTACGCAGAATGGCTCTACAGCTACCGCCTCAGAGTTATCTACAAGGCATACACTCCTTGCTATATCACGTTTTACTTCGTGCACTGAAAGAATCGGCATCTCCTCTAGAGACGGCCCCTTGGTTTTCGGATATGCACTCTATGCGAACATCAATCACCCTTTCGTCAGGGTTATCTAAAGGACTCCATACCTCTTCTATTAATGTGCATTCCATTGCATCAGTTCGCGTAGCTACATGGCTATACAGCCCCGCCGCGGTGGTCTAGTGGCTAAGGTACTCGGCTGCAGACCCGCAAGTCGCGGGTTCGAATCCCGGCTACGGCGGCTGCATTTTCGATGGAGGCGGAAATGTTGTAGGCCCGTGTGCTCAGATTTGGGTGCACGTTAAAGAACCCCAGGTGGTCGAAATTTCCAGAGCCCTCCACTACGGCGTCTCTCATAATCATATGGTGGTTTTGGGACATTAAACCCCACATATCAATCAATCAATCAATCAATCAATCAATCACATGGCTAGACAAGGTACTCGACTGTTCCTTCTCTGACACTTCCTGCGAAGCTGTGCTGATCACGGTCACCAAACCTCGACTGGTTTCGCCTTCACTCTTCCCTTTGACTCTGCCGTCCACTTGTAGGAAATCTCGACCGAAAGTTTCATCACAGGCTTTCTCAAGTCTGCCATCGAAAAGAAAGACTGAATTATGCATGAAGGTTCTACCATCAAAGAACACATCGATTATCCGCTCTTTGGAGCTCAGATATAAAACTTCCTCGCGCCACTCTCTACCTGTTAGTCCTCTCGCTTCGGCCTCCGCCAGTTTCAGCTTCAGCTGAAGCATTTTTTGCCTTAGCTCTTCAATTTCCTTTTCCTTCTTTCTCAGTTCTCTTTCAAACTCAATTTCCTCCTCTCTCTCTTTGTAAATGCACATTTCGCGCTTCTCACACCAAGCCACCATTTCCTTGCCTTTTCCCCGCAGGGGCGCCTGCGCAAGTAGGCGTTTGGTGTGTAGCGACACCACGGACCCGAGCTAACGGGGGAGTTTTGACTCCCTCCTACGCCT